GCAAGGACGCTACTAGGGGCTCCTGGCATCGCTACTAGGAGCATTCTTACTAGTAACAAGAAGCTACTAGTGGAAGACTAGTGACAATGGAGTCAATCGAACCTTTGGAGTCTTCGAGTCCCCTCGAGTCCCCTTTAATCGGTGATCGCATTTTCAGGCTGCCCCTCCTGGTGCCATAACGCGCGGTATGGAGGTGGAAGGCCTTTACGCAGAGGTGCCCATGAAATGCAGAAGCTGTGTCTTGTGCCCATGAAGCGGAGAAAACAGAGAGTGCGTCGTGCTTCGCCAGGACTTGTTTGATGCATGGCAGTGGGCTCCACAGGCTGTGGCGGCTTCTGCACATGCTGGTCAACAGGAGGAGGAAAGTTTTCACTTCATGTCCACTTGAAATTGAAGAGGAATCGATTTCTGGAGCTAAATCTACTTTGAGGAGCAAGAGAAGCTTATTGGTGTCAGTGAAGGCGAGGCTAAGCTGCAGTGGGTGTGCATTCCATTAGTTCAAAGGAAAGGTTTGTGCTCCGTCATGTTGGTAATGATCAATGATCCAGTCTAAGAAAGATCTTTCAAGGTTGAATCAGGTTGAATCCCCAAGATAGGCTTGGAGTGATAGCCTGATAGACAAGCTTTGCAGAAAAGGTCATACCAAGCTTCTTGGGCAAGACTATTTGTCAGATTCATTTGATAATTCAGCGGGTGGCTCAAGTGGCCTACCCCCCGGTCAATGCAAGCATGACGCTGATGGCGGGACTCTCAGCTGAAATTGGATTCCGGCAAGCAAAGTGCTAAGCCCCTAAACGACTGAACCTTAGGTTGCTTTGCCCAGCAGCCTCAGGCAGAGAAACTACAGAGATTAGATTAGTTTCATTATATATACATATATATATATATATGTATCGTTGATTTGGGGTTTACTCATTTGCACAAAAGATACTGTATTTGTCGCGCGTGTGATGGCAGCCCCGAAAAACGCAAAGCTTTGCAGGGTCCTGGTGGCAGTGCTGCAGCTTAGTAGCGCAGTCAGGGTGCCTGGTTGGAGCAAGTGTAACCTTTCCCTTATTTTTTTTTATCTCTCCGTGCAGTCAGAGCCATGGCTTGAAAGTTGACGCCATCTCAAAGTAAAGAAGTCTGAGCACACCTCAATATGGTTAAATAATGTTAAATCAAAAATATACCGGCTGTCTACAGTTCAGAGCTTGATTCTGTTGAGCAAAGCGCTTGGCTCAGCCTATCTGGCTCGAGTCTGGCTCAGCCTGAGCTTAGAAACCGCCTCCCATGGACAGTCTCCGTTCCCGCTCCCGGAGAAGCCGCCGGAAGCAAAGGAGGCGCAGTGATAGCCGGCGGCCTGTAGCAACTGCCAGCCGAAGCAGGCGGAGTGAGATGCCGCGCTGGAGCCGAAGGGAGGAAGCAGAAGATAGAATCGAGAGAATCGAAAGAACGGACAGGAGCGAGAGAACAGATGATAGGTTCGACAGGGGTGAGGATCGGCCACGAAGTCGTTGGGAACAGAGGGAGAAGCCGAAGCCTGAAAGCCGTGATGGCTCTTTGCAGCCCTTACCACGCCCTGGGTATGATGAGGACAAGCGCTTACAGAAACTCAATGATGACCCTCGGTACCATCCGGGAGCTGAGCTTGGCAAAGCCCAGAAAGCTGCCATGGGCATCAAAGGTTTGCATGGGCGCAACACAGCCTCCTTTGATCCTCGTTCTACCCTCGTGCGGCCCGCTATGCGAATCATTTATGGCAGAAAGGGTCATGAGCTTGGCAGCACGACGAAGCCTGACGATGTGGTTGTTGTGCCTGAATTGATTTGTGAACTTGGTGACCACAGTGTGGCAAGCCGTGTCATTGCAGAGCTGAAGAAATCAGCGGCAGAGCTGGATCCCAAGACCCTCCCATCCATTGGCAGTCTGACGGCACGCATGTGTCAGTACTTTCAAGTAGACCACAAGGATGCACTTGTGAGAGTTCGTTGGCACCAAGCAGCCAACAGCCCAGCCTTGGAACTTCAGTCTACTGGCTTCAGTCGGAAAGACCGGACGAATAGAAGAGGCTGCATGCTGCACTTGTCTTTGGGAGTTAGCTGTGAGCTTGCCTTTAAGCGTTTGCGCACTGGTGAAGTGGTGTACTTCCCACAGTGCAATGGCACCTTGACGTTGTTGGGATGTGACATCGATACCAAATGGTATGCCGGCGAGTCAAAGGTTCCTGAGGGCATGAACGTGTTGATTTCTGTCTGGGGCACCAGTAGCAAAGCAGAGGAAGACCACTTAGCCGAGACTGTGTCCATTGCCACAAAGGCCCGGTCTTTTTAAGGCACCTTTTGAGACTGAAGGCTTAATTGGTTCAACAGTGGTTACACTTTAAAACCTCAACAATGCTTGATGATTGTGTAGCTTGTGGTGGAACTTGCATTTCACAGAACACGGGTGCCTCTCTTCTCGCTGGACAAGAGTTTCCTTGTTTCTTTGATGGGTTTTGGTCGCAGGAGGGCCCCTGCAGAGACTTTCGCTTTGGGCGGTGCACCTATGGAGACAACTGCAGATTTTCTCACGAAGCTGGAGACGAGAAAGAAAAGTGCAACGAGACCATGCAGGTGGTCTCTTGGCCAGCGAGGCCATCAATGCGAGTGATCACGGTACCTTGGTGACCAACTATAGTTCGATGCAGAAGGATAGAACAGACGTTGCAGTGTCGAAGGCCTTCCTATCTCTCTTGGTCCAATCTAAAGAGTTTGCCACAGGTACCTGCATCGAAGCGCTATGCTGCTCCTGTGAAGCATGATGATGTCGTTATTGTACCAGAGTTCTTCTGTAAAGAAGATGATTGGGACACGTATTATGCTCTCATCAAGGCTGGGCTACTTAAGCATGATATTTTTCTTCATCATAAGCGAGCTTCAAAGTGTTTTGCCGCAGGAGATGCGCCAGAGTCAAGCCAATGGTGATCGGAAGGCTGGGAACCTGTGCAAGAACAATTTCATCTCACATGTTTCAGATTTGCACATTCCTGACTGGACTTGAACAGGGGTCCGGTCCAGCCCAACCAGAAAATCTGCAGTCATGTGCACCCTTCTTGAAACCCTCCTTGAAAAGACAGGACACGCATTGACTCAGGCGGAGTGGATCTCTTGGCATGAGGGCGCGCACTTGCTTAGTCAGAATCCTACGGGCTCTACCACCTACAATGAGGCACGGTGCAATTGATGTGCTTTTTGTTGGCTTGGGAAGTTCAGAAGATGAACGTCTTCGTCTGATAACCAAAGTCTTTGCCTGAAGGTCCTTGAGAAAATATGCAGCTCGTCATGATCTTGCAGATGTGTTGTTTCTGGCCTTCCGACCATTCTGCAGATGTTGAGTGTTCGGCAAGCTGTTTAGGTAGACATGATCCAACTGACCGATCAGGCGATTACTTTAAAGCTGCGGATCGCAATCGTGGCACACGTTTCAATTGGTACAGGGATGGATCTGACTGGAAGCCTTTTCATCATGACTCTGCTGCTCAGCCTCCACCAGCGGCCGCGTATCGTTCGATTCTTTTTGACCCAAGAACACAAAGAAGTGAAGCGCTGGAGGACAAAACCGTATGTTTGAGAGTTGTCCTGGAGCATCAAACTGACAGAACCATTCAGAAAACATACCACTGCTTGAATGTAAACCAACAGCTTTTGCAATGTTTCTTTTTTTTGGACCTTGGATTTTCGCGATTTGATTGTATCGGCCGCGCTTTGAGCGAGGCAGCCTTCAATGAACAGAGGGCGGCCAATCAGAACTGCACAATCGGGATCTCATTCGGTGCTGCGCGTGAGTTGGCTTTCCGTCATGCTAAGACTGGCGAACTGATTTATGTGCCCCAGAAGAACGGCATGTTGTTCTACTTTGGCAGAGATGCGACGCTTGCAAGGCTTTCTTGGGTCCTTTTTTCTCGGTTGCACTTAATCCTATGGGTAGGCTCGAAAGACCCAGGTTGGTTGCAACGACCCATCGTTGTGATTCATCCACAGACCTTTGCATTCAGGAACATCACTTGGCAGCATGGAATTAATGCATTGCCAGACGAAGAGCAAGATGGGAAGGGTCGCATATCCATCATTCTTTGGTGTTTGTGTCAGCTTTGCGTGGAAGAAGCCGGCTCTCCTGGTATGCTCACGGATGAGTCTCGCGGCAGCTACAGTATGCATGACAAAGGCAAGGGCAAAGGCAAGGGTAAGGGCAAAGGTGATGAACTTTGCCGGGACTACCGCCGGGGTGCGTGCAGCTATGGTGAGAGCTGTCGCTTCCTTCATCGGTGAAGGGGGAGTGTCGCAAGACTCCTGGGGGGGTGCGAGTTCTTGTACGCAGCGATCAATGTTTAGACTTAGCTCCTGTAGTCGTGCGTGTCACATGAAAGCTTTGCAGCAAAAGATCCATGGCACTCTTGACGAGGCTTTGTATGTGCGCGAGGCTTTGTGTGCGCAGCATGACTTGTTGATCCCTGATTTGCTCAGGTTGAAAGCCAACAGCGCCTTCATTTAGACAGCCGGGGCCGCCTTTCAGTGGGGATCCATAGCCACTAAGAAACTATACTCATGAGGTACTTTCGAAATGCCACTGACTCCAGTAGAAGTGTTGGTGCATCTCAGGCGGCTTCTGGACATGGCAACTGGAGGTCGGAAGACAGTTGCTTGTGATGAACCGAAGTTTTGGTCCAATAACTACAAAGGTCAAAGGTCCCATTTGTTTCAGCAGCAGTTGATTGTGAATGTGACAATCTTTAAGAAACTTGTGCAGGTTGTGCAGGTAGCTTTATATGCAAGCTGTGCCTTCTGAATTGTTTAGAAGGAACATATTGAGCCCTGAAGGCCACTGATTTTTGTGTGAGGACGTCGAATGAGTCGTCTCTTTCCAGGAGCCATCAGCCGCTCTTTCCTGTGAAATATGAGTTTGATGTGTGGGATGCTGAGAGATGTCTCAAGGATTTATAGCAGATCTTAGCAGATGAGATAGATATTAGAATGATATATATATATATATATATTATATCTTGATCATTTAATCATTTTGGTTACCAACTTTCACATGAAAGCACTGTGGATGTGAGGTCTGACCTGAAAGAAGAGCAGGTGCTGTGAAATAGTTTCAATGAAGTTGAAAGTGGAAATATATAGATTGACCAGTCCAGGATGCCTTATTTTTGCCAGACAATCTGTGAAGTTCTGCTTCCAAGCAGGGCTTGACCATGGTTTTCGACAAGACAGTCCAAGCATTGGTGGTGGAAGAAGGCATGTCGCGCTCGGCTCAGCCTGTAGAAGACAGGATTAGTTTGCGAAAGGAAGCGTTGTTTAGCGTTGTGTCTTTGAAGTAGTGAGAGGTATATAGTTCTTTTTGTAAGGCCAGGCCGGCCATGCTAGCAACGGGGTAGGTAACAGAGTCAATCAGCGACATTTGCGCCCAGGCCTCAAAGCGGAGTGGCCTGGGGAAAGTTTTCAGATGATATTCAACGATCTGGCTGGCCCGGTGCCGAGGTGTAAATAAGCTTATATTAATATCTATATCCATTTGCCGCTTCAAACACTTTTCCACAAAACAGAAGCTTGTTTTGTTGACTGTGAATGATTTGCTCCGCTTGATTGGTGTGCCTTTAGGTCAGAGCTGCAGGTGCAGACAGCCGATGACCAGAACATGGCAAACGATGTGAAGATGTATGTCTCGCACCCGGTAATTTTGATTGTATACTCGATTGCTATGCAGACTGAGCTCTTGGACATTTGTCCGCTTTGTCCTCCCTACAACTTGACATTTGCCTGCACCACTCACAATCTCCGCCCAGGCAGCGGGCTACATCGAAGGTTTGCTGACGTGCGTGAGGATTTCGGAATTCTACTCCAACAGCCAAAAGCTTCTCGGTACGACTGTGCGTCGAGCTAGAAACTGTCACAGACGCCTTTTGCCTTGTTTGCCTTGATTCCAAACCAGGGCGTTCTTCTTTTTGTTTTTTTAATAGTGTTTGTTTTGCTTTTTTCTTTCATCAGGCTTCTTCTCCTCAAGGACAAGACAGTCAACGCCTTAGTACACGATTTGGCTCACCTGCAAACGGCATTAGAAGCGATCGAGTTGCATGGTGGAGAAGGAACCAGAAGACAGATGGGTCAGCTCTAGATGACCTAGCCGCCTAGCCTGGTTATTTGGGCGCTTTAGGCCAATGCATTGCCAGCCATCAGAAAGCTTTTTCAGAATCAGCCACCCTGGCCAGCTTGAGCAAGGGACTGTTCAAAAGATTCATCGATGATTTGGCCCAAGTTCTCATGATGGGCGTTTGCTTCAGATTCTTTGCAAAAGACGGGCGGTTCTCTTGCCCCGTCTTGGCAGTTTTCTTTAGAGTTGGATGTGAACATGAGCCAAAGACCATCAAACTTTTGCCATGTACCTTGCAGGTTGGCATATGCCCGTTCTATGACGAACATGGAGACCCTTCCTTAGCTTTTATAACCTGACCTTGCATGGAATTAACATCTGGAGAAGAGAAAACGGAGCCCTCCAGCAATGAATCAGATTCAGGTATCATATTTTTGCGGAAGAACCTGAAGATCCCTACTGGAAGCAGGTTCGCTACGCGCCAGGGCCCGAGGAAGACGGACTTATGTAAGCAATTGTTGCCAATCTTAACTTCAGCAGCCTTCAGCCTTTTTTGATCCTTTTTGACCTTTTTGCCAATTATTCTTCATGCTCTCTGGTGAAGACGTGCTCGAGGTTCTTCCAAATGTGGGGCGTGCTCGACGGTGCCTTGGCCTTGTTAGGTGCTGGTTCAAAAAAGTTGAAGTGCAGCAGGGTTCCACAAAAAGACACCACGCATGATGTCAGTTATTGGCTGTTTCATAATAGGCCCAAACGGAATGGAACAAGAAACAGATTGGAGCCCTTTTTACCTTCAGGTTACAACGCAGCATCTTTGCGCTTCGGTGGAGAGATGCTGGAGCTGGACGACATGCTTCTGATAAATGCGCGGAGCCTTGTGTTTTGGTTTTGAGCGAGCTGCTGAAGCTACAGAAGCTGTGAAGTAGTCGGAGTCACAACAGGGGCAGGCACTTGAAGAGTTTGGGGAAGCTTCACTCGAGCACTTGAGTAGATGAGAGCTGGACTGAACAAAAACGAAGCACGTGATCTCCCTCATCGGACTCGTTGCTCACCAATTGAGAGGGTCCATACGAGTCCTTTCTTTTGTTGGAGCCAACATGCAGGCTGGTGGAGAGCTGTCACAGCTCATGCAGGTCTGGTGCAGTTTGTTTTCTGTACAAGAGAGATGGAAAGGCAAGCAGTTTAGGTTCAGGACCCACGTGCCATGCATTGACCCAACGTGCCATGCATGCCTCTCATCAGACGCGTTTTCCTTGTAAACCATCTTCTTGTGACTCCATCGAAGGCCTATTCACCTGAGCACCGGCAACATCGTGCCGCTCGATCCCAGGCCCCGACTGCCCGCATGGAGGGTTCTCCAAAATGAACGGTTTTCCGAAAGAGGGACTTGTGCAGCTAGGGGCTCCTGGCCTTACTACTAGGAGCAAGGACGCTACTAGGGGCTCCTGGCATCGCTACTCACACAACTTGCGCTCGCTGTCGACACGCTTCCTGCGACCCTACACCATGGTGGTGGGTGTCCGGGAGTGGGGTCAATATCGTCTTGTCGGATAATGACGGTGCAAAAAAAGGCTATCATGTGAGACGACTAACTACGTGAAACCGAATATCCGCGCTGCTCGTAGAAGTCTCGGTGATAAATTCCTAATTAGGTGCTGGAAGCACAACGGAGTCAAGATCTCCATTTTTATTCCATACTTTTCGAAGATTGCGTCTATATTTGAACTTCTGTTCGAATGTGAGTGGTTGAGCTGGAACAATGGGAAAATATGCTTTCGCGTAACGCATGGGCACCAAGCCGTCTGGGTGGTAAGGAGGCTTACAATGTAAGTTGTCGGCATAAAGGACCAGTGTTTGTTGCACTGCACCGGAATTAGGGATTTCCGGACGAGAGGCAAAACCACCTGTATAAGATCTTCCCCATCCCACTTGTGCTAAACTGGATGATCCAGTTTTATAGTATTTTGGAACCAGAGGTGTGGTGGCATAACCTTGAAGATAGATGACAATGGTACGAAAAGCTTCAGCCTGCTCTCGTAAAGAACGACGCGTGATGGGGAGGGCTAGTACGGCTGGATCTTGCCAATGAACGGGTTGTGCCCTAGCCTGACCATCTTTGCGAATCCACGTGGGAAACTGCAAACCAGTATTAACGATGAATGCGATGGCTAATTCGTGCCAAGTAATGCCTGATGCTCCCACTTCATCAGAGGGGGAAATATGGGGATTCGGCCATTTCAGACTAGCGCAGAATCTCAACACTAAATCAGCATATTGGTTACCCCAGACGCATGCAGTAATGAAGGCTGGGTGAACTGTCGGGGTCAAGCATATGGGTTCCGAAGTAATCTCATACAATTCGCGCTGACGAAAAAGGGTGCCCCAATCTGCTGTAGGATCATGATGAGTAGCACGAGAGGTCTGTGGGCTCTGACCTTGCTTAAGGGTAGCATGAGCCTGGTTGAGTGCGGCAAGGTACTTCAGAATGACCTTAGTTTGGACGAACTGGTCATTGTGCCAAACCCGAGCCTGTTCGAATAGTGAGTCGACAATCTCGTGGTCCGTTTTACGAGCTTGAACAGCTGCATGGTCTGCCCATGAATTTCCCATAACATCATCTCTGGCGGGGCCCGGAGGCACATCATGTATATTTTGGTGTGAACGGACTTTACGAAGCACAAATTTGGACGGAGACCATGACTGTGCAATAATCTGGAGCAGGTCTGCATTGGCAAGATGATGCCACGCAGGGAAGCTGTTTGGTTGGGTAATCTGATGAATTGTATTAATGACATACTGCGAGTCGGTCGTAATAACTATTTGGTGAGGCCAATGATTTTGTGTAGCCTGTTGAATTATCCAGGTGACTGCCGCAAGTTCTGCCCGGGCGATAGATTGGGGCCCCCGTACATGTTGAATTTTAATGGTAAGGAACGGGGTTGTTAGTGAATCTGGCCGAAACTGAATGACTGACCACGCAGCCCTGCGAGTTTCCGGATGTAAAGGTGTATCTGCCGATCCGTCTGTATAAAAGTAGAGGACATCTGCTTCCTGCCCAATATGGGTATGTCCAGTGTCTTGACCACGTGCCATTAAGAATTGACGCAACTCTGCCATGTGCGGCAAAGTTCCCGGTAGGGGAATCCATTGCTTCTGTGGGTGATGAGTTAGATAAGTCACTGCCTGTGGATGCTGATTGCGAATCTCCTGGAAAGCCGGGCATTCAAGTTGCTGATGTGTATGTGTATCGATTTGATCGCAATATGGGCAGTGTGCATCAGTAGTAGCTGACCATAAGGCTTTGACGGCCCCAACTTGATACCCTCCAGTGAGATTATATGCAATTAATCGAACCGAAGCTATCGGTAATGTACGCAGAACTCGTGACAGAATCACAAAGTCAAATGGATACTCTTGAACTCCTTTACGGTGACAAATATTACGATTAATTTGATAGGCCCAAGCTAAACGCAATTGTTGTCGGATGTACTTCAATGCATCATACCGAATGGAAACCGACAAACACCCGTCCAGAGCAAGACGACCATCGGAGTCCAATGACCAGCCAACGTGATTAAGATAGCGAGCGAGGGCCCCAGCGGGGCCAACTGCAGGGCCATCGTGATGTAGGACTGCTTGCAGAAACTGATTGGCTAAGGCAGGGTTAACATGGAACATGCGACGCAAGAATGCCAAGGCATTTGTGATGACATAAAGCAAGGGGTCCTGTAATTGGGGACTGAAAAGATGGACTGCAAGCCAGCTTGAGATTTGTGCTTCGGGGCCGATGAGCGCTTTGGTAGCCTCCCGACGGAGTGTTCTGAAATGTTTGTCGCCAACAATCTGTGTTTCGGCCCCATAGAAAGCATGTGGCCAGATGGCTGTCTGGATGAGTCGAGCTTTGTGGGTGATGTCCAATTGGAACCATCGAATGCGTCGGCATCGTTGGACTGCACTTGCCATTTTTGTCTTTAGATGTCCTAGGGTGATGTGGTGCGTATAGTGGGTCATACAACCGAGATCTTTAGTGGAATTGAGGATCTTGACCGGATTGTCATCAGGAAATTCATGAAGCAGGAATGTCTGCCAGTCGTGGCGTGCATCCAAGGTAGCTCCCCAGGCCCACGATTTAGTAAAATCAATCTGCGTACGCAATGCTTCCACAAGGTGTTTAATTTTCTGGAAGGTCAAGATATTGTCACGTTGATTTGTGGTGAGGTAAGACCAGTTATCGGCGTAAGCATACGGAAAGACTGTGGGTGTCTGAAGGGTCCAGTAGAACGTTGACGAGACTACCAACATAGCACAGACGGACATACTATCTCCCTCTGGCACACCCGTAGTCATATGAATTGCCGGTCCGACAGCCTGACGAACTTGAAGTCTCCGTGTCATATTACGAAGGTTCTGAAACCAGAAGGTTATTGATTGAGGAGGTGCACCGTGTTGAACCAGGAGATGATAGATAACCCGGCGGGGGAGTAAATTAAATGCTTTAATCAAGTCGAGGGTAAAACCTCGCCATGGAAGTGAACGTGTCTTAGCTGCCTCAATTTGAAACTGCTGCATGAATGTTATGTCTTGGACGCCTCTAAAGGGCAGACCGCCTGAGATGGCACTCGGCCAGGTAGAAGCCCATTGATTTAACAACTGATCAGCGACAAGTTTGGACGTGAGCCGACTTAAATAACCAAGAATGGTAATCGGACGACCGTCTGTAATAGCCGTGGGGGGCTGGCGTTTGGCCAATAAGACAACTCGAGCAATTAGATGGTGTGCGGGCAGCCCTTGTGGCCAAATGATGGCCAGAATGCCAGCAAGGTCTTCAACGGCTTCAGACGGAAGTGATTGCAGTTCCTCAGCTCTCCAGCCATCGATACCAACGGCTTTAAATGGTTTAAGACGTTGGATAGTTTGTTGCAAAATCCGGGGGTTATCCCAAAGGACTTGCAACGGTGTACTGGGCGGGATGCGACTACAAAGGGATTGAATGGTCTGTTCCCATGGGTGGTCAGAGCATTCCTCGTGGGGTGAATCACGATTCCAGAATTGGGACCAGTATTGTTCGAATGGAGCTGCCATTTGAGTAACCTCGAAAGCGAAGACCTCTTGGACGAGATCGCCATGTGTGGGAATTTGCCCATGTAGGATATGGCAAATGATGCGAGAATCATGCTGTTCCATGATCCGAATCCGGGCGTCGCCAAAGGTGGCTGCCGCATATAAGCGAAAGGTCATTGGCTGATGGATTATCAGGGATACTTGTCCCTTGATGGATCGGCAGAGTGTGGCTTGTGCCGTAATGCGGACAGGAAAACCTGGCAAAACTTTGGCTCCATGATCTTTAAGTCGTTTGTAAAACTGTGAACTCGATTTGTATTGTATGTCTAGGTTCAAGGCATGCTGTCGAGATTGTCGCCGCAATTTGGCTTCATGCTGGCAATATAAGTCGGCATCATACTGAGTGATTTGACGGAAGCAGTAAATCTGATCATAGTTTGGAAGGTCCTGCGGGACTACCATAACAGACTCGAACTGGAGGAGCCAATGTGCCCAGGATCTGCCGTAACCGTTGGCAGAGTAAATGACTTGCCACAAGTGTCGCAGTTCAGAGACTGGTGAGGCGTTATCTGTCGGCGGAGCATGCAGTGTCACAAGATCGTATTTCTTAAAAAGGCGCTCAAGCGAACGAAGACGACGAACCTGTCGGATTTTCTGTCGGCTCTTAAGGGACGTGACTTCGACCGGTGGCTCGTATTGGCCAGTAATATCTCTCTTTGGGGCACGTGCATGACTATGCCGGATGAGTTTCGGTTGTGCACATCGACCACGGAACGTTTGTGGCAAGAATCCTTGCTCGTGTTGCAAGGGATCGGCTGCTTTCTGGAGACCAAGAGTCTTATGAACAGCCTTTTCCACCCGGAGGGACCATTGTGCTAGGCAGTCGGCCGGGTCAGTAAAATACTGATCACCCGTGGAGCATCGAACTTGTCTGTACTGGCTAGCGAAGGTATCTGGATCGAGCGGAAATAAAGTCCAAGACTTCGGCACGAACCATGATCGAGCGTCTACTGGATAAGTGGGAACGTTGAACTGAACATGGACAGCACAATGGTCTGCAAACTGATGTTCGGGTCCAATGTCAATTCGATGGATATATTTGACCAAGGAGGGATGGAAAATCATGGAGTCGTACCGTGTGGCTCCCTTACATGTTGGAGGAAGTTCAAAACCAAATGCTTGTCGGTGAAACTGGAACATTTCCTGACAGCCCATATTGCGGAAATTTGAGTATGCATCCAGTTTATGAATGTCGGTATTGAAGTCTCC